AGTATGATCTTGGGGAGTTAGAGATATTGCAGTGAGGAGAGTGATATCTGATGGATTATCTCTGACAGTTTGAAAACAGTGAGTTTTAAAAAAAATGCTTTTATTGTCTAGATCTGATTTTGATGCCACCTTGCAATCTAATATTCACCATGAAAATGTTTAAACTTACTCGAATGACATTGTATCTGTTGAAGATGCCACCAGCATTACCACCATCTCTATGTTCCCGAATTGTACTTTGCATCTATAAAATATAACAAAATAACTATTACGAAAATACCCATGAATTATACCCATGTATAATTCCAAAGATATGTCTTCTATTGTTTTCAATATTTTAATTCTAATATATTATTTTACTGATGAGCCAAAAACTCATGCACCTATAGATAAATAGTTTATTATAAATCAACATGTTTATGGACAAGTTACTGCTGGTGAGAAGATAGTCATAGCCATAAATATTAAATTTTTGCATTTTCAATTTATTTTTAAATAAAAGCTATAATAAAAAAATTTTCTGTAAACACAATAAGGAACATATAGAAAAAATATCCTAATAAATCATTTGCAATTACTGTTTTATGTTACTGAGAATGAGAAGAAACATTGTGAATGAGACAAATGAAAATTCACATTCAATCAATACTCCACTGGACAGTAAAAAAACAGCAATTTAAAAAAATCAACAGCTTTGTTTCTTAGATGAAATATTCCATATTGGCAGCACCTGTAGCTCAGTTGGCAAGGGCGCCAGCTACATACCCCTAGGGTGGCGGGTTAGAACCTGGCCCAGGCCTGCTAAGCAACAAAAAAATAGCCCAGTGGTGTGGCAGGCACGTATAGTCCCAGCTCCTTGGGAGGCTGAGGCAAGAGAAGCACTCAAGCCCAAGAGTTAGAGGTTGCTGTGAGCTGTGATGCCATAGCATTCTACCCAAGGCAATAGCTTGAGACTCTGTCTCAAAAAAAGCAAAAAAGAAAGAAAGAAATATTCCATATTATCTCAATAGTATTTATCTATTTGAAATAAGAATGGGAAACATCCCCTTTATCTGAACTACAGGTGTTTCAACTTCTAGTAGAGCATTTTTAAATTGTTCTTGAACAATAATGAGACAGTAGTCCAAATAAACTTGCAGCCCTGCAGATCCAACAGCTGGTGGCACGTCTGCCAGCAAACCACCTCTATCTCAGTGGTCTTTAACTTGGGGTCTCTAAGCATAGCTGTGCAGACCAGGGAATGTGAGCATAGCATACCACTAAAAGGAATAATTTTCTTCTGCCCACTGTTCATCTTTCTTTTACTTTCTAAATTAAAAATAATTATTATGAAATAATACTTAAAAGACCTAAGTCTCTCATACAATTAACTCAGAGAGTGAATTTTTTTATCTTACTGTTCTTCTTGTTAAGAGAGTCAATATATTTTGACATTATGATCAGAATTTACCCACTAGTAGAAGATAAGGTGATAAGTAAGACTCTGGAACAAACACATGTTTCCTGATAAGCAAGGTTTGAGCCGCAATACTGACCCCAGTGTTATGGTCCTAAGTTCCCTAATGTGACTTCCTAGCAGAGAAATGGGAATAATATGGGCAACTACTTAAAAACAAACCAAAAAAAGGGATAAGCATACCTTTTTTTCCTGCTTAGGGATTTGCATAATAATGGCGTTAGGCAGCTTACTTATGATAATAGAATTAGGCCTTTGTTTATCATAGGTAAGAAGTTAGGCATAAGCCATCAGTGGAGAGGAAATCTCCATGGCATCTGTCTACCAGGAGGTGCATATAAATAGCCTTAATCTGGAGCTCAGATAATTGTGACTGGAGAAATGAAATGTGACACACAATTATGAGGCAGGTTCAGACACATACATAGAAATTAGGCAAATTATTTTATAATCACATTTTATACCTGTATAATAAGAAAGATTAAAAGATACTTGCTATTTATGAGGCAGGATTCTCAGTCCATATCACTCTTACGTAGCACTAACAATATAAGAAAATAGTTGGACTAGGATCCTTACTCGCATAAACTTCAAGAAAATCTGCTGAATAGAAGGACCAATCAGCCCCACTCGCTGGAAACTCTACTTAACTTTGGCAACATTCCACCCCAATGACTAAGGAAGACAGGCCAGTGGCCATAACAAAATGTAAGATGAGAATAACTCTCCTGGAAAAATAGGTTTAACCACAGGTTTCAGGAACAGGAAACTAGAGATTATGGATGTACACTACCTCTTCTTCTACTGACTGATACTCTTTATCTTCAGGAGCAAGATCCAGCAAAATAGTTCCCTGATTAACACAGTGAAAAGTCAAATAAGGATTGGTGCCTGGAGAAGAGAAAAATTAACATATAAAACTCACGTCCACACTACTCAGGCTCTATTTCAAGGAAAACACTGTCACAAATAATTGACATTTTGCTATTTAAACCTACTACACTGGTTATTATTAAGTAAATACCCTCAAAGACAGGAGAAGTAATGGAGATGTGTTTGGGGATCAATTTTGTTTATTCTTACAGAGCTCAACAAGTATTTTTTGAAATTAACTCAATCATGAACATATGTGAAGTTATGTTAGATACAAAAGAGAAAAATAGATGCTAAAATTGTAATGTAGTCAGGTCTAAAATGTAAGAATTGTCCTCCAACACTCTTAGGAGATGGTTTGAAACAGCTATTACAATAGCTTTAAAACATATTATCCTTGTTAATTTCATGGATGGGCTAAAATAAGAGATAGACAAGTCTCAAGTTCAAAACCTCCTAACTTTTAGGTTGAATCACTCCTGTAATTTTTTCAGCTCCGTACATCAATTAATTGATGAACTCACCATTTCCTTTCTCTTTCCTTGCTTCCCCATAGTGATGGTTCTTCTAACAAACAGAGAAATGATAAGCATGGAGGGGAAAGATAAGCGGCCTGGAACAGCAAAGAGCAGTGGGAAAAGACTGAGCTGGCAGTCGTGAGGGAGGGCGAAAGGTCCGAGATGAGGTAAAAGAGAAAGGTCCGATTATGAGAAGCCATGCCACCAATGTCTGATTTTATCCTAAAAGCAACAGGATTCCACTGAAGGGTTTTAAGCAATGAAAGTCATATGACCACATGCTCACTTTGAAAAGAGTCCGGTGGTTGCGGTGGAGGAAAGACAGTGGTATAAGGCAAAGGTGAAGGTTGGAGATAAGCAGGGAGGTGTGTGACAGTTCAGGAGGGAGAGAATGTGGCTTGGATTAGGTAAGAGCAGTGGGACAGGACAGAGTTCAGAGACATTCCGAGAAACTCAGGAAATACAGCCTGGGGAGAGTGGAAAGACCGACTCTCAGACTCACCGGGCCGGAGTGAAGGGGAAGGGAGGAGGTTCTAGATTTGTTCAGTACAGAGCTCTGGGGTCACAGTGCCTGAGTTCACGTGCCAGCCTTGACATTTACCTTGTACCACTAATTTCTGAAGAGCTTACCTTGTTGTCCACCTAGAAGTCTTTCCACTCCTTTAATTAATTTGTGGCGGTGCCCGTATGCATTGATGCCTATTTCTTTCAATTCTTCATGACCCATATCAGCTAACACATCTAATGTAATCTGAAAAATAAAACAAAATTAGTTGGTAATTTTTTTTTTTTTTTTTTTGGAGACAGGTTTCACTCTTTTGCTCAGGCTAGATAGAGTTCATTGGCATCATCACAGCTCACTATAACCTCAAGCTCCTGGGTTCACATGATCCTCCTGCCTCAACTGGGACTATACATACATACCAACATGACTGGCTAATTTTTCCTATTTTTGGTAGAGATGGGATCTCACTCTTGCTCCAGCCATTCTCTCAAACTCATAGCCTCAAGTAATCCTTCTGCCTTGGGCTCTGAGAGTGTTAGGATTACAGGTGTGAGCCACTCCCACCTTCCTGTTAAGTCTTTAACAGTTCTTTAGAGGACAAAAGCTCCTCCATCTGTCTATAAGCTATGTTACTATTCAAATTAAGAAAGTTCTTTTGTTTCCTGCATAGGCATAAGCTTAACAATCTTTTCAAAGTTGTCTTGAGAATCTTATCAGTTTTTTTGCTCACTATTCTTTAATTTGCTTTTAGTCAATGGAGAATTAAAAAGGGAAAAACGGTACCATGGAAATACAAAGGAATCATTGCTATTATTTCCTTTTGATCATTTAATTCTACCATCTTCTGCTTGCCTCAACACAGGGGAGAATTCAGTGGCTAGAAAATGCGGACATACCCGATCTCAGTACCAGCAGGGAGCAGCCATGAATGGCAGGGAGAGAGAGAACTGTAAGCGGAGTGTGGCAAGAGGGGTGACGGATTTTAGATAAAGATCAGCAAGAACTTCCCAGTGCTAAGAAATATTTAAGCCTGGATCAGATGCCTTAGAAAGTAAGCCTGGAACTGATGCCTTAGTAAGGTTTATATCTCAAGTATTCAGTTAGATTATAGAGCATTTTATAGAGAAGCTACATTTAAAAAAATCCAATTTGGACAAGAAAAGAGTGGATGGTTTCTAAGCTCTCTTATAAATTTACAGATTTAACAATCCCTGTTGCCTAAAATATATTCTATGTTTATGCAATGTAGTGGTTTTTAATTTTGGGGTATTCATCCCTGTATATCAGTAGTTCTCAACCTTCCTAAGGCCGTGATGTACTTTCATTGTTACAAAGGGGTTGTGACCCACAGGTTGAGAACCAGTGCTGTAGAAGAAGATGACTAGTGGGCTCAAAATGACCTAACGCCTTTGTGGAGGACTGACATCACTATGACTCTACTACCACCTAGTGGCCCTCTTCTGTATACACAAGATGATGTCTTAGCACATTTCTAGAGGGCTGAACATGTAATTTTCCAGCCCAGAGAAGACGGCCCTGTGACAGTCCAAATACTAGTCTACAAGATTAGCCTTGATTTTTTTCTTTCCTTGGAAAACTGAGAAATCCTTTTATATAAACTCCTTTTACAACTCAAGTAAGATATTTTTATCTACCCATAGCTTTTCCTTGTATGTGACAGTTAAAAAAATGACAAATTAGGCCTGGAGCTCTGCTGATTTTTATTGTCAGGATGAAATATTATATAATGAGTCTGATCGTCTCAGTGCAATGAGCATACATCACTCATTCTTTGGAGATAATTTACTATATTGCTTCTAAGTGGCCACTGAAGAAATAATTGCTCCATTGCACATGATGGGCAATTCACTTCCAATCACTCAAAGGTTTCAGCAGAGCTTTTAAAAAGCGACAATCCTAAAACACACATCTTTGAGACAGAGTAGTTCACAAAATAATAGGAGCCTTTACATTTTTAGCTAGATGTGATTTTACTATAATTTGGAAACCATATTATCAATATCCTACTTTTTCCTTCTACTACTCGGAACTGCAGTTTAAACTTTTCTGAATTGATACACACAGGGCATATCTAGAGCAAGGGGGAAGCAGGCCTGCAAAACACAGTCTTCTGTATAGTGCTCTAGAGAAATAAAGAAGAATATTTAACATGTTTGTTCATTATATAGCTTCAATCACAAAGTGAATTGAACTCGAACCAATGCAACAACCCCTGATAGACTGGTATCAAGCCACATGGTTTAGAAAACAAGGTTGAGAGGAGGCCTCACAGCTCCTGTGGGCAGCAGTTCCCAGATGGCTCAGAGAACCCCGCCCCCTGGGATTGTGTCCTCATTGTAATCCTTCCCTGAGTGATGGACAGACTTACTGACTTGCTTCTAACAAACATAACACAGCAGGAGTGATGGGAGATTACCTTCTCCATCAGGGAATAAAAAGACCATGGGTTCTGTCTTGGGCACTCTGGGGCAGACAGCCTCAGGGATTCCCACCTCTCTATACTCACGCCCTTGCTTAGGTAGTATCCAAAAGGCCCTGGGAAATCTTTGCAGCAGAGTAACACAATCAAAGTTGTATTTCGGGAGGATGAAACTGGTGGCATTAGGAAGGGCACCTGGGGAAGGGAAAGTGCTGGGAAGGACACGGAGTGGTGTGGAAGGGATGACTCCAAGGGCAATTCTAAAGGGAGGCCTGACAGGGCCCGGCAAACGGAAATGGTTCTAAAATAACAGAATGAAAGTAATTAAAGATTATTTTAAAACTCTGAAGCTGGGTGACTATATAATTTTTTCAATAAAAGAATTGTTGAACTATCTGGAAGGAGAGCAGGTTAATTGCATTACAGACATGTTGTTCTAAGGTTCAGGGCTTTTACAGCCCTATACAGTGTTAGAAATATTTTTCTGAAAATCATCTTTTTAAATTAACACACTTTGAAAAAAAAAACAACAACTTTGACTTAGTTACAGCCAGGAAATCCTAAGTTTGTTTGGCTATTTACATCTAGCACACAGTAAAATAAAATTATAATCTTAAGAATAAAGCTTATCCAGTATCAGTTAAAATCATCTTGCATATAAAGCAAATGTCACTTTAAGAAGGGCTGCCTCTAGCTTCTGAAATCTGTGAATTTTATGTGGGGTTGGGAATAAAAATTAAGAGTTCCAATAAAAAGGTCTTTCTTTTACTTGGGTTTAAAAGATTGAAGGGAAGAGTAGTGGTAATAAGAACTAACTTTACATTCATCATGTTCAAGGGACTTTACTTGAGGCCATGCTTTTGTCTTTAAACATTTTAAAAGCAAAATTTATATGGTCGCTTTCTATGAAAATGTAGACCGTAAGTATATCTACAAGTAGTCTTCCAAGTCAAAGCATTTATGTTCCAGGAACTGCAAGGTAAATTGAATGACTTTTCCATAGAAAAAGTATTCTAGGTAGGAAGCTATGTTATAAAAGAAGGGCCAAAATTACACTGGTACTATAGTTGGCTAACAATAAAAGATTAGGTATGTATTACTTAATATGGAACGTGGCCAAGTATCTATGGGAAATAAGACAATTTAGTTTAGAGACTTCAGAGAAAATAACTGAGGAAAGGTAAGGCTCTGATGCTCTGAGGAAAGTTTCTCTGGAACCAGAAATAAAGCAACTATTCCACACTCCACTGGGAGAGAAGTATCCATGAGCAGGAATGGATAGCAAAGCATCTTAGGAAGCAGAATGGCTCCCTGGATTAAGCTAAATAAACATGAATTAAGTAGGTACAATGTGTGCCCTCACTCTTCCCCTGCTACACAAATATGTTAACCATCATTGCCTATTGCTTGGCCTGATATGGAATGTAAAAGGGAGAAAATTCTAAGGGGAAGTTATGGAAGAGGCTACTGAATTTGTTACTTTATAGCTGAAGGCTAGATGAATAATATTTGCAATTCAAAGAAAATACATTGGATTGCTTGACAATTGGGCCAGCGGACAGTTCCACACAGTCCCACACAGAGAAAGGCAGCGTCATTTGTCTGGAGGAAAGGAACTGTGCCGGGTTATATGCATTTAATGCAATAGTCAGCATATTGATCAAGAAAAGGATATAGACGTTATTCTGGCCAAAAGAAAATCAGTGGAACTATTTACTCAGAACAAAACTGCAGTAAAAAAAAAGAACAATGAAACTGATAAAGCCACGATATGCTGTGAGAATCAATACAATGAGATAAAAATGCCACAGGAAGTCAGTTATTGACAGAGAATATACAATTTAAAGTAAAAAACAAAACATACAGCACAAAGCGAAAGAAGAGAATTTATGTTCTTTGGGAAACTTTAACAGTCAACTGAAGTTATTTGTTTGAATTAGGGTCTTTGGTTTGTTAAGTAGGTGTGTTTAAAACTTCCCAATTATTGGGGATATGATTTAGGAAGACGAGACGTGGCTCTAACAAGGTGATAATAGAATAAAATGCTTTAAAACAGCATTCATACTTTCAGGGAGAGAAAGAGGGAAAAGGGTTTTTACTGTTTAAGATATTCTCATGAGAAATCTGCAAACCAGAAGATGGATAAATGGTAGAAAAGGAAATGATT